TTTTTTTTTTTTAAATCTTACTGACCCCAAACTTTTGAATGGTAATGTACGCTGAAATGTACAATATGAACATATTAACAGAATCTAAAATGTAACATTATCTTTACCAGTCCATACATTTTAAATATATTTGTATCGTTCCCTATCTGTTGGTCACTACAAGTTATGTTGTGACGACATTAGGGGTCTTACTTGGCAGCCTCAATCACCTCTGAGTTTGAAAGAAAACACCATTGAGATTTGGCATGTGGATTTTGCATACCGAGCCACTCCCCCGTACATACAGGTATAGATCTTGCCACCAGATGGCTGCCTGCATCCACTCATTCAGATTTTTGCTTCGGAGCCGACTGGATGAGAAAGCAGTTCATGGCCATTCACCACATCTTCTCTTCACGATTTGGCATAACGGCGCATTCAGCTGTGTCCCCCTCTCAGCAGTGTGACTCCCCTGGGCGCTTCATTTCACAAGAGAGCAGTTTCTTAGGAAGAGACGTATTTATGGATGGTTCATGCTGCGAGCGCATGACCATGGCAATGCTGCAAGTGCATCTCTCCTTTCTCAGGAAAGGTAGAGATCCCTCTGTCACTACCCATCCCGGTTTCCCTGCTACAGGCAGGGAATCGCTGGTAAGTGCTCTGGGAGATCTGAGTGTGACAATAGGTACGTTTACATGGACACTTTTTGCTTCCATCGGAATGAATTCATTCTGATTGACGAATCCGAACGTAGTGTTTACATGAACACTATATAAAGCATCGGCTGGAGGTGAACACACCACCCAGCCCTGAGAGCTCGCGTCTGGTTTCTGGTCACGATTGGTTTCTCGGCATGGGGTGCGGCTCTCAACCGCGTCCAGCCCCGGTTCCTTTCTTCTCGGAGGTGCATGAGGAAGTCGCAAAGTCATGGAAGGCCCCTTTTACGGCCAGAAGCCACTCGTCGACTTCCTCCATCCTCACTACCCTTGATGGCGGGGCAGCTAGGGGGCACGTTGACATTCCCCAGGCAGAGAGAGAGATTGCGGTGCACCTGTGCTGGCAAAATACTTCCACCTCAAGGAATCGTCAGCGCCTCCCGTCCAAGGCCTGTAAGCTGACGTCAACCCTGGCTGCCAAAGCTTACAGCGCTGCAGGCCAAGCCGCCTCTGCCCTGCATACCATGGCCATCCTGCAGGTCCACCAGGCCAAGGCGTTAAAACAAATGCATAAAGGTAGTACTGACCCAGGGTTGATGCAGGAACTGCGCACGGTGACTGACTTCGCCCTCCGGGCGACGAAAGTCACGGCGTGGTCCCTCGGGCAGGTAATGTACACTCTGGTGGTCCAAGAGCATCATCTCTGGCTCAACCTGGTTGAGATGAGAGATGTCGTCAAAGTTCGCTTTCTTGACGCTCCTATATCCCAGGCTGGCCTGTTCGGTGACATTGTCGAGGACTTTGCCCAGCAGTTCTCGGCAATACAGAATCAGACTGAGGCCATCAAGCACATCTTGCCCGACGTGATCCTTCTGCTGCCACCACTCCGTCGAAGGCCGGCCAACAGTCTGCTTGTCACTTTGAGTGCACTCCTGCGTCCTCCACGGCAGCTCTGTCCCGCGCTGAGACAACATCAAGGCCGGCACGTCGAGCTCCACACAACAAGGCAGTGACCCCCGTGTCCCAGGCTGCCGCTAAGTCTTCAAAGAAGACCCTTCAGGCTGTCCCTGTCCCCCCATGTCTTTACCAAAAACGTAGATGACACCATTGTCCTATTATGGGAATTGGGCATCAGGATCCTCAACTATCTCGACGACTGGCTCGTCATGGCTCAGTTGCGAGAACAGTTGTGTGATCACAGGGACCTGGTGCTCCAGCCCTTCAGGCAGTTGGGGGTCAACTGGGAAAAGAGCAAGCTCTCCCCCATGCATAGAATCTCCTTTCTCTGCATGAAGTTGGAATCGGTCAACATGACGGTGCGTCTCACCAACGAGTGTGCCCAATCAGTGCTGAACTGCCTGAGTTCCTTCAGAGGCAGGACGGTAGGACCTCTGAAACAATTTCAGAGGCTCCTGGGGCATATGGAATTTGCAGCCGCTGTCATTCCACTTGGAATACTTCATATGAGACCACTTCAGCACTGGTTACACAGTTAAGTCCCGAGATGGGCATGGCGCCGTGGCACACATCATGTCCTTATCACGCTGATGTGTCGCTGCACATTCAGCCCCTGATCGGACCTTGCTTTTATACGGGCAGTGGTGCCCTCAGTACAAGTGTCCTGGCATGTTGTTGTCAGGACAGGCTGGGGCGCTACATGCAATGGGCAGGCAGCCTCGGGGTCCTGGACAGGGCCTCGACCGCTTTGGCACATCAACTGCCTGGAGTTCCAGCTCAGAGCAGCTCTTTGTCTGCTATGGAGGCCAGCAGAAAGGACAGGCTGTCTCCAAGCAGAGGTTGACCCACTGGATAGTAGTAGGGGTAGGACAATAAATCGATGTGCCAATTTATCGTGATATTTCCGACCGCGAGACATTATCAATACTCTGGCACCAAGTATCGATATTTTTTTAAACATACAAAATATCTAAATTCATACGTACACTGTGGCTGTTTACCACTTTGGCTTACCGGAGCGGCAGTGCCTCCAGACTTCTTGTGGTGGCGCTTCCCAGATTGCGGATGGTCAGATGAACGGAAATTGTAATTCACAGCGAAGAAGAAATACGAGCATAATGGTAGACCAACAACAAATCAGAGATGCACCGGCGTCTTATGTTTATGGAGATGA